ATCTGAAAGTGACAAACAAGTGGCACTTTCTAGCCAGAATCAGGTACCTTAAACACTGATTCTGTTATTGAATCCTCCCATAGTGAACCTAAATTCAGCTGAAACATTCAAATTATGACAGCTGTCTACTTTGGAAGTTGATGAAATGAAGAATCAAACATATATTCTATACAATACGTGATCATACGAAGAACATTTGGTAAATTAGTGTATTCAGGCAGAAGTATGGATGTCTGTGGATTCATTCAACTTAGCTGCCAATACCACTGGTGTCATCAGCGATTTTTTAACTATTTATGCCTATAAGCAAAAAATGGTGTGTGTGTGTGTGTGCAGTGCTAAGTCCTAAGAACTGCAGATACATATAGCCAATGTTAGTTCTTTGTCTCTTGGGATTTAAAAATGGAAATTAACCATTTCAAAATTAATTAATCCTAATAATTAGTTCACTTACATATAGATGGATAGAACAGTAAATTCTTAAAGAAGACTTTTCAAGTACTTCGCAAAACTAATCAACATACCACCATCAACAAAATATTCAACCGTCATGAACTGTTTCAAAATTAGACAACAAAGATCAGTGTCTGAGTCAACATAAAACCTCAAATGGTCAAAACCTATACACGTAGGATGAATTGAAGATACTATCCGGTCAAATCTTGATCACAGTTCATATGAATACTTCGTTGTACATGTTGCAAATTAATTAAGAGAATATTAGTCTACATGCGAAGAAAACCCCTTTCAAAACTGAATAGTTGATGAAGGAGGAAATTAGTTATGTAACTGTAATTGGTCCCAAGATATTGTTTGTGTACTACCATCCTATCTTTTTTTCAAAATCTGGAGAATTACAGTAAAAATGACTAATTTTACGACGGCGTCGCAGACAAGTAGTCGCATATTGTGTACACTGATTCAGTGATCTGACTAGATTATTGTCTTGATTAATCTATGGAATACATAATAATAACACATGGGCATAACTAAAATCTGTACGTTTACATAGTTGTCAATATATGCATGGGACCTGCTTAGATGTTTGAAGTGGATTGTTTCGGAGATCCACTTAGACATTAACTGACTGAGAAATATGTACTTTTAGATGAAGTATCAGTTAGTCAAGATTTTCAATCTTTTATCAGTAAATTAGACACTACGTATTATTGATAAGGTGATCAATGTCCAGTCCGGAAGCGAACAAATCAGAAATGGGCTACGTAAAATAACACCCACTATTATATTGATCATGATTACAGATTACTTGTCATATCCTTGGTGGTTTTTTGAATTAAACATTATTGTGTTAAATATACCTTTACTCTCCATCTCTCGTCTTTTATGCTGTCGCCTAATTTGCGGACTCAGAGATCGGTTAGCCGTTGAATACGTTGTTGGGGTGAACAAGCAACACGCGTGATTACCGCATGTGTCAGCAGCTCGACGTCTCTATTTCATGCATTTATTCCCTTTAATGAACAAAGCAAGAACTAGAGTTTTAGCAGAATAAAATGGTACCATCTTTTATTTCATCGACTTCTCGTCAGCTGCTTACAGGGCAAAGACATTATTAAATATATCTACAAAAACAATTTTAACATACTTGCACAGAGTTCATTTTAAACAAAAATCAATCGATCAGTATATGCATACACTAATAATATATTATAATTATATTATAATATTACACACTATTCCGAACAATAATAATCATTCACAATGGAAATTTTTCAGCATTTCGCGTTCAGATGAAAGAGAGATGAAAAATATCCAGTTACTAGGGCAAAGAAAGACTGATAACCGCTCGTTCATGTCCAACCTTGAAAGAACAAAGTTGAAGCATGCAATCGACGAAACAACTTCCTACTGTTGATATGTTGATGACACATTTATAGTGTGCAACAATGAAAGTCATGCTTCACTCAATGATGCACACACCAATATTGAGTTTACTATGGAACATGAAAGTGACGGAAAGTTTCACTTCCTCGACACTGCCATGGAACGCTTAGAAGACAGTAGTCTTCAAAAGTCAATAAATCAAAAGCCCATATGGAAAAGACAATACTTACATTTTATAGCTTTTTTCCAAATAGCTTTAAACGCGGACTAGTCAAGACTCTGTACTATAGAGCGAGGAGAATATGCTCTATAGAGAAATTAGAGGAAGAATTTGAGTTTCTTGAAAAGATTTTGAAGAGCAATGGGTACCCCCAAAGGTTCATCAACAAGTTTGAAAGATCTGAAGTCACAAATGTGAAACAAATCACAGTAAGAGAAAAGCCAATCTACTTTCAGCTTGATTGTAAAGGTGAAAACATTGCAGCGATGATCAACAGAAGGCTGAGTACATCACTAGCCATAGCCTATCCTGCAGCTAAGCTAGTTCCCGTCTTTCGAACAACTTGCTCTCTGGTGCAATCAAAAATCGATAGATATCCTTCTCATGTTAACTCCAACTGTATATACAAATTTACATGTATCTGTGGGAGCAGTTACATTGGAAGAACAGAAAGAAGGGCATATCTACGATTTTCTGAACATGTACCAAAAAGCTTACGTCTAAAGGGAACAAATGCTTTGAACAGTGCCATCGCCAGGCATCTCCTCGACATGGGTCATGAGGTGGACGTCGAAAAGTCGTTCAAAATTATCAATAGGCAAAAGAGCTCAATTCTCCTTAAGTTTGCTGAAGCCATTTGCATCAAGCGCCTGAAACCTGATTTATGCGTCCAGAAAGAAGGGGTTATCAGTCTTTCTTTGCCCTGGTAACTGGATATTTTTCATCTCTCTTTCATCTGAACGCGAAATGCTGAAAAGTTTCCATTGTGAATGATTATTATTGTTCGGAATAGTGTGTAATATTATATATAATTATAATATATTATTAGTGTATGCATATACTGATCGATTGATTTTTGTTTAAAATGAACTCTGTGCAAGTATGTTAAAATTGTTTTTGTAGATATATTTAATAATGTCTTTGCCCTGTAAGCAGCTGACGAGAAGGCGACGAAATAAAAGATGGTACCACTTTATTCTGCTAAAACTCTAGTTCTTGCAAGTCCCTATTTCAACTGAACATTTTGCAAAATACAATAAGTATGTACATGTATATTCGACTAAGTGTTTAGTGAAATATTTCATTTTAAATTCCTAGAGAAATAATCATTTGAAACAAAGAGAGAAACTTCCACCAGGAGGTGTGATATCAACCAGTTACTCCTATAAAATTCTATGAATCATTATTAATGTATGTGATGGTTTATAAAGAGTTTGTCAAATTCATACGACACTTGTGTTTACATAAGCTTACAAAGAAATAAAACTACCAGAATATCTAAAATCTAAGTTAAATATACTCACTGGATTATAAACAGAAAAATGTAAAAAACCGTTTTGTACAACTTCACAGGAATGGCACTTAGGATAAGTGCTGTATCATTAGAACTTTGTTAAGAAGTTTGCCTTCAAAGCAACCAAAATATATCTCTTACTGTGGTATGTTTGTAGACTCGGCTTTACGTTGTTTTATCCCTGAATATTCACTTTAAGAGTGTATGATATTTAACAGTCACTAAATCTTAACACATTTTCTACTGCACTTATTGCATTTGCCTTCTTCTTTGGAAGCTTTCATTTAGATCAAACAGATTAGAAGAAATGAATCGAAGATTTACAGTAAAAATAAGACTTTGGCCCTGTGATAGAGTACAATTCCATCATAGAGTAAATGTATCTGACAGCGTTATAACGTATTATTTGCTGATGACGTTTCGAGCACAATTTATTGCTCATAATCATATCAAGGTAGTTAAACAACTTTCCGACTTCGTTTATACAATTCAATTATTTCTCATCTCTCGATCTGATTGGGTAGTAATATTTTCCACATCTCTAGTATCAGTGATGCGTCATTTCTATCATATGTTTTAGGTTTAAGATCCAATAATCAAACTCTCTCTCCATCTATCTATATTAATTTTTAGAAATGTTACTATGCCCCACCCTGTAGTGTGGTTGTGTGTTAATGAATGCAGTGCAACTGAGTTTTCTTCTAAATTGCTTATCTTTGCGGGATCAGTCATTCTACACTTAGCTAAATTCTAGTGCTCTGATTATCTGTCTAACCACGATCTTTTATTTTTTTAATTCCTTAACGTTCCCAGTGGAACACAGGGCTTCAAGCTAGAGGCTTCAAGTTTCTGTAGCAGCGGCGATTCTTTTTACAGGATGGAGTTGCTAGCCTCATGCCCAACCTTCCCTCTTTACCAGTCTTATTGCTGGCTTAACGAGGTAAGGGAGTGCGTCGGCCGAGGATTGAACCTCGAACCACCTACGTGGTCGGCCGGCACTCTACCGCTGTGCCACCGACGCCACACCGATCTAGTGGTCTCAACTGTTTAGTTGACCTCACAGTCATTGCAAGATATTTTGTAGATTAAATTATCCTCTCTAATCAGGTCGGCACGTCCGTTCAGCCTACAGAACTTGTTCCTGAATCAGTTTGTAGGTTTACATGCCACCCTAATTCCTGCTTTATTAGGAATCCCAAATAGGTTTTCAGATGTCCCTTCCTTAGGTGAAAAAACTGTAGATGCCTCATATTCGTTCCTATTTATGTCATCATTCCTTATTTTTGCCTTTCTTATGACCTTTTTTGAACTTTTTAATGAATTTTATAGAATATTTATTTAACACCAACTTTTCTTCTCTCTGTTTCATTTCATCATTTAGCTCTTTTTTGATGTACTACTTAGTGCTACTACTCAGTTTGTTAAACACTTGACTAAACCTGCCTTCATAGATTTACAGTAATGCGTATTTCATAGCGATTTTTTCGCATTGATTTTATCGCTATATAACCTGAATGAATCTGGTCCCATAGTTTTCAAAAGAGAAACAGCATACGCCTTTAATGCAACAAGTAATTCATACAAACTATTTAAAACTTTTGTTGTCAAAATAATTTTATTTTAGGTAAATTTACAACTTACTTGTTATTGTCTCACTATAGTTGTAATCTCTTCCAACCATATCAGCTGAACAAACAGAATGTTCACGAGAGTTTAAACTAGCAGTTTTTGTCTGATTCTCCATTATTTTATGCAATAAAACATTAGTTGTTAGTCGAATAGGCAACATATACACATGACTGGATTGAGTGACTTCATTTGGTTCAGTTGTATGTCTGTTATATAAGGAGAGAATGTGTTTGTTAACACCGTTATTAGTTCTACCATCATATTCATGATTACGATCAATATCCTCATCTTGTTGCTGATATAATGCCTTTAGTGGGATAGAACTTTTGTCCACAGGATAATTGGAATTTTTCAAGCCATTGAAATACTTATTTTGAGAAGACAATTGTGTCGCTTTTTCTAGGTATTCATCTTCTGGAAACGTGCTAACATTGGCTTTGTTCATTTCTGGCGGGTCGTCAAATTTCTGTGTTTGACTCTTTTTATATTCATCATTTCCACTGAACATACTACTGTCATCATCCTTAGACATATTAGTAGTATTTATTGTTGTAGTTGTCGGTGAACTTATTATGTAGTCTGTTGTAATCTGTGGTACACTGTCTGTGTCAGTTTTAGCAGTGAATTTCTTCAAACACTTTTCATCATTATGTTGAAAAAATTCTGGTTGAGACATCACATTACTATTATTAATCAGTTCTAATGATTTCTTTGTTTTATTCTTTGGATAATGCATTAAAATAAGCGCTTCTAATAATTCAAACAAAAATATACAACTAAAACCAATGAATAATGAGCACAGACCGCCAACTTCAGAGAATAGTTTAGCTAATGAAAATATCTCCTCTTCTGTAGCCACTTGTACACTTTCACTACGCACTAATTTTAATCGACTTGTTGAAGTCGGCAGATCATCTTCACTACCTGATAAACGCACCTCACTGTGTTTCATAAATTTTGTCTGTATACACGGTAATGGACAGGTTTCATAGGAGATTTGTTCATCTTGACATTGTGAACGCTCACATAGAGACTGTGATTGTGAAGCTGCAGATAACAAGTCAAGAGAACACGTGGAATTGCATGACAGTGCCGTTTTAGCACAGCATTCTGCCCATCCACATGCTTCACGACTATATAAAAACTCTGTACCGAATAAACTGACAGTAGCTGATTTACTGCTACGACGCTGATCGGAATTTTTCTGACGAAAACGTGATTTTGCTTGTTGTAGATAGTTGGTTGTCTCACCAACATTCTTTTTATTATTTTTCATTCGAAGAGTATCAAGGTAATCTAGGTACCATTGCTGCTTGATACTTCCTTCACCATCATTTTCATTAATATTCATGTTGGAAAGTGAATTTATATCGTAGTCTTCTGTTCCATCACTCATTGTCGATCTGGATGCCGATGACAACATTTTTGGTGACAACTGATCTGATTGATCATTTACAGTCTTTTGATGAACATTTTCACTTTCTGTGTCTATTGTTAATTCAGAAGCGATAAATTTAGCATCAGCGCCTACATGACATGGATTTCTTGCAGTATTCAAACGTGTTGTTACAGATTTTGAAAAATATAATGAGACAGAAGTCTCCGGCGGTAGAATTGTATGGATATGCCTATCGTAAGCACTGAACGGTAACTCGCCACGTTCATGTGTTATGACTGTGAATGTAACACGATTTGTACCTTCTGAATTATTTTCTTGATTTATGCGAATTTCTAAATAAGACCACACTCTTTCCATATTTTTTGAGAGTAATTCAAATGTTGTACACAAGAAATTTCGTTTATTTGGCACCTAAAACAAAGAAATGTGTGAATAATCTTTCGGTAATATCTTGGCTAGATTTTGTAAATTTACTGAAATCACACTTAGTTTGTAGAATAAATTACAAATAAATTGAAAAAAATACTCACTTTTTGTATTTCAGTACCAACCTACCTGGATTATAATCTTGTGATGCCTAACTCACCTCTCGACGTGGTCAAGGCATTGTACAGCCAAAATATTGGCAAAGTTAAACTATAGCGATCCACGGAATGAGACCACTGAGAAAAACCACCGGTTTTTCCATAAAAATGACGTTTACTTACAAGAGAAATACACAGAATAATGATAAAACACATTAAACGGGATAATTTTCCATGACGTGACTTAGAAATATCTCCTAATTTTAATGAGGAGTATCATTTTCAGGTTAAACCAGTTACTGCACATGTTTATTGAGGTGAGTGAAGATAAGTTCTTTTTGTGACACACTTATCTCTCTTATCCTATTTTTCAGTCTTCACAAAAGTCATCCATTGAATTAGCATGGGTTCTAGCAAAGGGACAAACAAAAATTTACTAGAGAAATGGAGAAAATAAAAATAAAACACCATAATCCTAATCCAAACTTAACTCCAACCATAATCCTAAGTTTAGTCCCGACCCGTAACCATCACCTCAATCCCATAACTAACCCTAATCGTAACCTCAACGAGCTATCAGCAGTTTACCCAAACAGGACTTAAAAACGAGATTGGGATGAAATTTGCACCTCGGCTCCTTCAAAGTAGCCGCAAAATGATGGTAGGTCCCGTTATCCAACGAATAGTATGCTTCCAGAGTGCGTTGTGCGTTCGAAATCCTGGATCGTTATACTTTAACTTGGTCAAGATATTCATCTGGTGTTGTTTAGCTTTTGACGTATCTGTAAGCTTTCAAGTCATTTTTATCTCTGTGCATTCTTTGCTAACCGAGTAGAACAGAAGGTATCAATCACCACATCTATATCGTACTTGGTTCTGTAGCATTACTTACACTTGGTTCCACGACTACACACAAACATGCTTCCATTTCTTTCTGACATCATCTTCTCCACGTCACTTTCGGACGCACAGCTAGTCGCCATGATGATTCAACCGGTTACAATGACCTTCTTGTTCAATATAAATATGAGTGAAAATAATTTGTTTTAAAAAATGTTATCATCAATGTCTTCCTTACATTTTTAACAAGATATTCATCTAATATATTTCCTATTACACTGTCAAAGACTGAATTTAACTACAACATGTATGTGGTGGATTTGTAGATACTGTGTGCTCCAAATACAGTAAGTCATCAGTATACCTTCAGGCCTAGTTATGAGTAAGTTGAAATGTTCCTAAAGCTGTACGTTTCCAACTCTGTATAAGTAAATCTGATTTTAAAAGTGACAATTCGGGCTTTCACCATTGCTCTTCTAATTTGAAAAATAGATTTACTAAAAATAGTAATCTGCTTTATTCCAAAAACAGAACTTATAATACAGCATGCCCCAGAACATTCTTAAAGTGATTTTTTCACTGTTTATGGTAAAGCCCTCTGTTTCATTTCCAACTATCACAAGATCCAACAACTGAAGCACTCGCATAAGGTCTTCCCGTAACAAAATTGATAATTGTTTTTTGTTCTTTTTATTTTGCTTAGTAAAGGACACAGCTCTTCATGAAGGTAACTGCGACTGGTGCTGACTCATAATTGAAATGCAGTTTGTCGACATTTCCTGCTCCTAAAAGACTTTTCTACTTAAATCTACAATTCAACGGGGAGTCATTTACAAAAATACAGAGAAACCGACTGTCCTGCTCAATGAAAAAAGCCTTCTTCATGGTTGAACTTCGATTTACTTTCTCCAGAAAACCAATGATTCTCATGAACATGAAGAATAAGCTTCCACTGCTGACCTCATCAGTGTGCATCTATCAATTCACCTGCCAGTGTGGAGCTGGGTTTATCCGCCGTACTCAGCGTTGCTATCTGAATGTATCATCAATCACTTATCTTCATGGCTTTGTAAAGGAGAAAAAAGATCCCCCCACAGCAGCTCTATCCTGAAACACCTGACTGATTCTAGATACCAAGCTAAACCACAAAGAAACTTCAAAGTCAGCTACAGAATACACGAGGATCTTGCTAAACCAGTATGAACCAACTTGCTTCAAATTGCAGAAGCAATGGCGATTCACATGTTAAATCTTGAACTCTGCATACAAAAGAAGTTTATGCAGTCATCAAATCTACAATGAACTTGATCTATCTTAACACTAAATACGTAATTTTTGTTTTTTGTGGTTTTTAGTTGTATTATTTTCTTCCCTCACCCGGTATTAAATTTTTACCCCTTATTAACACTGTTGTTAACTTGAATCTCGTTCAATTTTAGTGGAATTCTACTCATTTCCATCAGTTGTGTTACGTCACTCAATTTACTGATTGGATTTTATTTTAGTTTCTACCCGATTAACGCTTTTCATATTACCTTATTTTTTATCTAAAGAAATTTACAATTCTTATGACAAATCTCTGAAAGTATTCCCTTTTGTTGCAGAGGTTATTTGCCATATATATGCGATTGTACATCCTGAGAATGATATCGCCGAAAAGAGTAACTCTTTGCTGAACGTGTTTTCCTTTTATAATCCCATTTTTATCCGTCACTTGAGATGAATAAATGTCATTCAAAAACCAGTCTGACACTGAAATATATATTCAAGTAAGAATTAAAAAAAACAAAGGTAATTTGATCTCAACCCATAATTAAAATGTTTTCCCGACCTTAAAAATCACATAAACACAGCAAGTTGAACTTAAATAACCTCCAATTTTTTAATCAAATTCACGAAATTTAAACTATGCTCAAAAGGGCTTGTTTTAAACCTAAAACCGTCAGTGTTGGATATTTTATTCCATTGGTTTTATTGCCTTTTAAAGGCACGTGTACACTTTAGTTTGTTAAGATATTGGAAGCCATCAAGCTTCGTGCTAATTACCACTAGTCATTTTCAAATGGTACTGATCCTCTCTTACAACCTTATCGACATTTGACCTAGTTTCCTGGTGTTTTATCCCTTCAGCAGATCAGACTATCGGTAACTTCGTTGTTCTTACGCAGAAGTTGTATTTATTCGTGTGTTTTATGAAGTTGATTCTTGGCACACCTTCCACTCTTTCTATCAACATACTCTATGCTATGGAACCGATGAAATACAGGAAGGTGGATCAGTCAGAATAATATCTTAACTACTAAAAGATATGTAATGTTTTACTTTATGAGTACAAAGAAGGAGTTTTCAGGTTGTCAGATAATTCGTTTGAAGAATAAGACAATGTTACTACCCAGGTAGAAGTGAAATCAGAGAAAGAACGATTATGTTTGCAGGATGATACGAGTTCAGTGTATTTCTTGGATAATCTTCAGTTGTATGCATACTAGGAAGTATCACAATAATAAGTTACAAAAAATTCTGAACATACTTTTTCATAGCGACTTCAAGTTATAGATTGAAAGTATAAGCAAAATAATCAGGTGTCTCAAGTGCAATTGCCAGACATCTAATTTACACAAGACATACATTAGAAATGAGTCAAGCTGTCAAAATGATCAATACACCAAGAAAACCATGGTTACTTCAGTGTGCCAAAGCCACTGCTATCAAAAGATTTCGACCCAACCTCCGTAAACAGAAAGGTAGCCTGACTAAATTCTCAATACCCTGGTAACTGTGATTGTTTTTTTTACGTGCTTTTGTGTTATATGCTATTGTGCAACAGTCCTTTTAATCTTGATTTTGATTTACTGAGTTGAATTCACATCTAAGTTTCCAAATTTACTTAATTTTGTGGTCTATGTTATAATTTTACGTCACTATTCACTCGCATCCTCTTTAACTCTGCATTATAATACGTGTAAATTCACTGTGCTGTTCGATCTCGTATTTTGTCTCTGGCCCATCTTTGTTTCCAAGTGAAATCTGAACTCTATCCCCGTCTTGTCTAATTATACTATAAACAGTTAGTCTTTTAACACTGAATAATTTGTCTACTTACGTAATATTTGGAATTGCGTCTCTTTTACCTCCTTTGTATAACTCGAAGTCACTTTAGAGAAAATAAGCTGAGAAATTTTGTAATTTATAGTTTAATTTTGTCTAAGATGGATGCAGCTGAAGAGAATCCGTGAAATTAAATGAGCTCATATTATCCTATAAATATGGTCGTTCTTTATTTGTTCAAACTAATAAAGGGAACTGGTTGTTTGAAGTGAAATCTGGTTGAGACATTGTATTACAAAGAAATTCACTGAAGTTTCTTGTTGAAGAGGATGCAATTCCTACATGAGTAGTTTCAACTGTTAAATCAGAGACGCTATTTGATGAACTTTTTTTCTCAACACTCAGCCTTCAAAAACTTTGAAAGGCACAAAATGGGCCAACTATGCACGATAACTCCAAGGCATATTTCTGTTTTAAGGTTACAGGCTAATGTCAGGTAATGTCAGGGATACAGCAGTCATATATATATATGTTTAGCTGTTATTGGTTAGTCAAGTAACCATCATTTTTCAGGTATTATACAAAAAGTTTGTGAAGAAAAAAACCACCTACTGATTGGAAGAAAGGCTACCTTGTCAAGCTATCAAAGAAGGCAAACTTATGTCCCTGTAAGAACTGGCGCTGATTCATGCCGTTTTCAACGCCAAGCAGAATATTAAGTCGCATTATCCTATAGGAAATGAACAATGTACTGGATGCAGAACTTCACCAAATGGATTAGGCTGAACGCAGGAGAAGTAAATCATGTGCTGATCGAATGGCAAGTCTACGCATCATCATAGAACAAAGCATAGAATGGCAGTCAGAACTCTCTCTACCTCAACTTCATCGACTTCGAAAATGCCTTCGACAGTGTTGATCAAGAAGTAATTTGGAAACTACTTCAACACTGCGGAGTGAAGTGCCCCAAATCTTTATCAACCTCATTCAACAGCTAGT